TTCGGCCGTTGTATGCTAGAGCCTTCTTCAGGTGATATACGTTAGAATCCAGCGTCCGAACAATGTGAATAGTGAAAATAGTTACAAAATATCATCTCAGAAATATAGACAGATAATATGATTTTATAAGCATAAAACCCCATTTCGTGATGTTTTACACGTGCAAAGCTGAATATGATTTATTCTGCTTCTTCTTCATCTTTTTCCTCTTCTTTTTCCTCTTCTTTTTCCTCTTCTTTTTCCTCTTCTTCTTCTGCCTCTAATTCTTTTTCTACTTCTTTTTCTGATTCTCCTTTTTCTTCTGCTTCTAAACATCTGCTTCTTTTTCTGCTTTTATATTTTTATATTATATGCAAAGTCGTAATATTTTTATATTATATACAAAGTCGTAATATTTTTATCTTATATACAAAGTCGTAATATTTTTATATTATATGCAAAGTCGTAATATTTTTATATTATATACAAAGTCGTAATATTTTTATATTATATGCAAAGTCGTAATATTTTTATATTATATGCAAAGTCGTAATATTTTTATATTATATACAAAGGCGTAATATTTTTATCTTATATACAAAGTCGTAATATTTTTATATTATATGCAAAGTCGTAATATTTTTATATTATATACAAAGGCGTAATATTTTTATCTTATATGCAAAGTCGTAATATTTTTATATTATATGCAAAGTCGTAATATTTTTATATTATATGCAAAGTCGTAATATTTTTATATTATATACAAAGGCGTAATATTTTTTATATTAAATGCAAAGTCGTAATATTTTTATATTATATGCAAAGTCGTAATATTTTTATATTATATACAAAGGCGTAATATTTTTATATTATATGCAAAGTCGTAATATTTTTATAATTGTAATTGTGCTTGGAGAACGTTTGGCGAAGGCGGTCATCATTAAAAGAAAATCTGCTCAGCAATAGTTGCGTATTTTAGTGTCATTGATTCGGTGAATAAATTCTTAGAATAGAAAACGCCATGAAAATGTGTACTTCCAGTGACTTTGTAAGTGTCTTGCCCAGCTAAGAGCAGCTATGACTAGCTTACATCAACTCTGGACATTTTGGACTAGCTATAACCAACGGCCCGAGTAAAAACAATCGGATCCTCACGTTAAAAACCGACCTTGTGTCACAACCTGATTTGGGTGGGGGAGTTAAGTAAATACAAACTGCTCTCTCGAGTACTTTGTAACACACTGATACTTACCAGGCACATTCGTCACTGCGTTGTTAGTATCACGGCTATGACTAGCTTGGACCGGCTCTGACCAAATTGGACCAGCTATGACCAGTCAAGATCAGCTAGCTTAGGCCACTTCGGACCAGCTTGGACAAGCTATGACCCGCAAAGACCAGCCGTCTGAGTGAAGACACTCGGGTTCCCACGTTAAAAACCGACCTTGTGTCACAACCTGACTTAAATACCAACTGCTCTCTCGAGTAGTTTGTAATACATTTATTTATCATCTCTCAATTGCGTCTCTGTCTTTCGGCAGAGTGGGCTCAGTGGCGGCTCCGTCAAAGGCCAGAGTCGCAACTGAGGAAAATTATATTGAGAGGTGCCCAGCCCTGGGGAACAGCTTCCTGAGGTTATGCCCTCTCATTGCACCGAGGCCAGCGCAAACGACGGTTGCAGAAGCTCCGGGCAATTTTTGTTTTTAGCCCGGGTGTACGCGTTCGGGCTCCCCACATTAAAACGACCTTGTGTCACAACCTGACCTCGTGGATGTTGAGTAAATATAAACTGTTCTCACGTGTAGTTTGTAACACCTTATTTATCATTTTGTCAGATACAAAAGGGAAATGAAAGTTATTCCCCTTGAACCACGAAAGCAACGATAATTGCTACTATAATGTATTTATACATATTTTAGCCTCGCATCATCTGGCAACCCTGAATCTCAGCTCAATGAAAATCGTTCCCTGCACCTAACTTTTCTCGGGCTTTTGAGTGAGCTATGAATCATTGAAATCAGACCAGTGGGAGCGGAAGAGTTGCTTGGACATATATATACACACACACACACAAACTCATACACTGTACTTTATATATAAGATATATGTACTATCATTAAAAAAAGGTTTCAGACGACTTACCTATCACAAAGTTATTTTAGTCTTTTTGTATTACCTTGTATTATATGAGCTTAATTGATGCAATAACATTTTCTTATTGTTCAGCCATTAATCACACATGATTTATGGTAAAAAAAAAAACAACTTTATTTGGACTATTTCCTCAACTTTCTCGTTCTCCATTGTGAACTGTATGGAAGGTCTTATTGAGTTCACATGGTCCAGTAGAACCTGAACTTCTTCCTGGTGTGGCCAGAGTATGAAGGTGTCATCTACGTACCTTAACCATAGAGTTGGCTTTAGAGATATAGATTCTAATGCCATTTCCTCAAAGTATTCCATGTATTCGCCATTGCTGGTGATAATGATGAGCCCATTGCTAAGTCCTCATCCTGCCGATATATGTGCAATCCCATTCCGAAGTGTGTTGTTTGTGTACAGAATGTCAACATCTCCATCAGATTATCTATTGAAATACTGGTTCGTTCTTCTAGGGAAGAGTCAGAGGCCAATCTGTCTCTGACTACAGAGAGTGCTTCTACCGTGGGACAAAGATTAGGACAATTGTTCGAATAATGTAAATAGTGTATATAATACCTCATTTCAGAAATATAGACAGATAAAAAGAAAACTTTGTCCTTGCCAAATTAGCCGCCATTGGAATAATAGTTGTGTAGTGTTATGCGTCAACGAACCATTAGAGGAATTCGTGGTAAGTGATTTGATGAAAATTATACAATTCAGATTATGATACAGCCACCAAACCAGATAATTTGGAACGTCATGTCTGAATCTAGAACAGTTGAACTCAGATTCTTGCCTCTAGTAAGATCACTATATGTGGAATTGCTGCAAGGGAAATTGGAACTACATATGCACATTCATCAGTGCACAATATTTATGCATGATGGTGTTCAATGCCAATGGCCAAAGGTTGAACAGGGTCAACGTGACAAATCTGCGTTGGCCGGGGAACAGGCTTGGTCTGAACCCAATTGTGAATTTATCGGAAATTGTCAAAAATAAAGTTGCAGTAAACAACTTACAAGTAAGAAAGAAGTGAATGAGGCTATTAAAGAAATCTGGAGAAATCATATCTCGGCGGACGAGTGTCAAAAAGGAGGTCATGCAATTTGGTTAAATTAATAGCAAAGTAAAGTCACGTACAAACAGCGCCTAACATAATAGCTACAAGGGACGGGAAGATGCGGAGAGCCATGACCGCCTCCATCCAGACGGGACACGGCACATAAAAGAAAGCATGTACAGATCTGTGAGTTAAATTGGATCATTCTCTCATAAATTAGTTGTTACTGTGTAGTTCTTAATTTTAAGATAGTAAAGTTACAAACTTTATTTATATATATATATATATATATATATATATATATATATATATATATATATGTGTGTGTGTGTGTGTGTGTGTGTGTGTGTGTGTGTGTGTATTTGTGTGTGAGTGTGAATATTGCAATAATGGGAACCAAACAATTTATCTCATACAGATGATCATTTCGTCCGTGGGAATGTAGTTTTCCTTTTTTAATCCAATCTAAGCTTTCGGCTTACATAAGCCATTATAAAAGATGACAATTACTGTACAATATATTATGCAATACACGGACAAGGCAGTGATGATAGTCTGTTTCTGTTTACATGGATAAAAAATATGTATCAATATTGTGATTTTCTTTCTTCGTTTAATGATAATGTTATTAAGCTTATCAGACGTTATGAAAAGAATTTACATAAAATAAATACACAACACTTGTCTATATTATTTAATGAAACATGTATGAATGAAAAAATGCTGCCTAAATAAAAGAATATATATATATATATATATATATATATATATATATATATATATATATATATATAATTATTTTCTATTTAAAAAAATATGGTTCCATCGCTACACAGGAATTGCCATAAAACAGAAACTAAAATTTTAAATTTAAAATCCATTGCTACGTCCATTCTCAAGCGATTTTTGGAAAAACCTATTAAGAAATTTACTTCATTTATAAACCTTAATATTTTAAATTGTTAAGGTTACGGAAAGTTCAATCATTATGATAAGGGGTGGTTGTGTTTTAATTTCCCTAGACAACTCATGTATGAAATGGAAGTTACTTTCAAAATCAGGTTAAGTTAAGGTAGGTTAGGGGGTGTCTGCTCACACCTAATGATATTCGTGTTTCGCGTGCTGTCTGGGTTTTTCAATGCTAAAAATTTTGGGCATTTTTATTTGGCGACTTAATTTATAATTTTATACATAAAGATTTCTTAAAAGGGTCATCTGAATATGAATAAGTCACACATTTAAAGTACTTTTCTACTTCTAATAACTAATAGACTATAATAGACTTCCTTACTATTTTAATATATATATATATATATATATACAATATATTTACACTCACTCCCCCATATATATATATATATATATATATATATATATATATATATATATATATATATATGTATGTATGTATATAAATGGGGTTACTAGTTTAGAAAAACATCGGATAGTTCAACTTGCAGTAGAACAAATCGGTACGTGAGAAAGAATAGGAATAAAAAAAGAAAGAACCAACAACATTAAAACAAGGCGAAAACAATCGTCCAGTGTTTAAGCTCCAAAGAAAAAAAAACAAAATGCGTAAAAAGACAACTATATAAAGTGCTCAATACACTAAGTGGGAGCAAAACCTAAGATAATCCTAAGGAGCCAGGGAAACCTACCTAGGTTTCACCTAAACGGTTTGCGTGGCTCCTTAGGATTATATATATATATATATATATATATATATATATATATATATATATATATATATATATATATATATATAATTCGGTAAAAAAACTGCCGGATATTAAATGAAGCGACCTAATGGCCAAATCACGTTGAAACACCGTTTCTCGTACGATCACCAAAGTTAACCCACAACGAGTCTAGCTAGTACTTAGATGGGTGACCACTTGGGAATACCAGGTGATGTAAGCTTGGATGTGCGGCTGGTGTAATGAATAATGCCTCGGAAGTATAGCAATCAGAGAGCCGTGTTCCAATTCTTGTTGGGCTCGTTATATTCACTTATGTGCAAATCCACTTCGGAAAGGAATGAATTCAATTCTTCTATCCCTACTATGGTTTAATTAGTAAGACATATGTCACTAAACCATTCTTATCTCTAAAAATAATCCTTACAATCTAAAAATATTTTCTGGCTTTAAATAACCTGAAAATGTTAATAAGCCGTAGTAAACGAAGTATATTTTTGTAAAATATAAAGAGTACATAATCTTCACCCTGAAATAGTAATCATCAAGCTGGGTTAATATATATTTTAATATATACATATACAATATTAGTCTTGCCTGATGATTCAGGTTGAAAACTTAATTACATCGCGCACACGTACAGTAAGGCATGCTCTTAAATAGTCTCGTAAGAGCGGACGTCATGCATGGCGAAAAACCCCGTCCAGATATATATATATATATATATATATATATATATATATATATATATATATATATATATATGTGTGTGTGTGTGTGTGTGTGTGTGAGCATATATAGAAAATAGGAAAGAACTGGTTAGGTAAGTAATCCAAAGTTCTTTAGTATTTTAGTTATTATTTTTAAAAAATAGTGCTCGATACAAAAGTAGTGAATTTAAAAATCTAAACTTAAAGATAACAGTCTGTACTAAATTGAAAAGGGTAAACTTCCTCGACGTAACTCTAGATTTAACAAACAACATATACCAACCTTATAAAAAAACAAATACTAACCCCTTATATATACACCCGAAGTCAAACCACCCTCCATCCATAATTAAACATATACCCTCATCAATAGAGAATAGAATCAGCATAAACTCCGCTAACAAAGAAATATTCCAACAATACAGTAGCTTTTATAACGCTGCCCTAAAAAATAGTGGATACAAGAATGCAAACATTAATTATAGAAACAATTGTACGAACCAGAGGAAAAACAGGAAAAGAAAAATCATTTGGTATACCCCCGACCCCCGTTCAACCAAATGGTTAGTATTAAGCTAGGAAAGAAATTCCTAGCTTTAATTGAAAAACACTTCCCTACCAATAGTAGACATAGTAAAATATTTAATAAGAACACCCTAAAATTGAGTTACAGCTGCACTGAAAATCTAGAAAGTATAATAAAAAAACACAATAAAATCCTGAACAAACCCCCATGCCTGAATAGTATTAATAAAAACCCTACACTTAAATTAGAAAAAATATGTGATTGTAGAAACCCAGAAGACTGCCCATTGGAAAATAAATGCTGCGTCAAATCTGTGGTATACCAATGTACTATCTCATCCATTGAGAGTCCTAATACTAATATGATATACATTGGGTCTACGAAGAATGAATTTAAAGCCAGATGGAGACAGCATAAGTGCTCTTTCAACAATATAAATAAAAGAAATCAGACATCTCTATCTAAATAATTTTGGCATTTGAAGGAAATGAATAAAACACCTAAAGTAAAATGGAAAATTATAAACAAAACTAGAATTTGTAAAACTTGGGATGACCCATGCCCTTTATGCCTACATGAAAAACTACACATTATTAAGTTTCTAAATAATAAAAATCTATTAAACAATAGACATGAGTTAACGGTTTTTTGCCGACATCATCAAATTTTTGGATTGAATAATTAGCATAAAAACAAACAAACAATAAAATAATTTTTAAAATCCATAGTCCTAATAAATAGTTTAAATACCCTACAAAAAATGATAACCCTTTATGAAGTCGTCAAAAAACAAATGTTACGGCAGTTTTTTTATATACACAAAACCCTTTCAGAAAAAAATAAAATAAAAAAATAAATAAATCTCCATAGACACGTAAACGAGACTAGGCGAAATCATCTTCCGTTTTAAATTTAGACACCCCAACCTTACCCTGACTTGACATCTGTGAATGTAACTCTATACTGATACAAATTATTAACACCTACACCCCTTTTTATTTAAACAATCGCTTTAGCCGTTACCATAGAAATTTTGATTTCAATAATGAATATGCTATTAAAACACGTAAATTTCAGAAATAAGTTATTCCAAAGAAAATTTCTCTTGAAGATGGAACAGAGCTTAATTCAATTTTAGTTTTAGTTTTCGGGTCTTGTTTTAAAACATGAGACCTCTTATGTAGCGTGTTGAATCATATTTTTAAATAAATAATTATATATATATATATATATATATATATATATATATATATATATATATATTTTAAACTGTCAGCTCTATACAAACGTTTTCTCGGGTCAATGGTTAAAAGTAGTTTTGAGCGAGTGAAACATGTGGATTTTGACAAAGACTATCGTTCTTCAAACATTGAAGATTGGCGTTACATTATCACAAACAAAGACGGTACCAAATAACGGAAGCCACACCACTTGAGAACCTTCAATAGCTGCAACAACTAAAATGGATAGCACATGTAACTCGAAGAGAAAATAATGACATAATTGAGTTGTTGATACTCCGCACTACATCGAATAAAAGGTTAGGAAGGAGACTCCGGTGAATGCTGGAAACAGCTACTTCACTTGAAGAATAAAGTTTTTAAGAGAAATATTTAAAAAAATTCAAGTGATATTATTTCTGGTTCCTCGGTAATGAATGTCGAATGTTTCCTTATAAGGAAGCAGCTAATGTTATCGTTAGTATTTGTCCCTGTTTTGTCATTTATTCATCAAACTTTGTTAAATAAATTTTTCACTGTTTCCTCTCACTTCTCTTACTTTCAACATGTTTTGTAAGCATTAAATTCTACAAGCCTTCTTTACTCGTTATTCATCTCAGAAATTACTGCTGTCTATTTTCTTAATTTTTAACAGCAATTCTTTAGTAGAGCTTCTTAAGTTTCCACGTCCTCACATGTTCTGACTTCGGTATTCTTAGCATTTGTCGATAGAACCGTATCTCTTTTTGCTTCAAGTCTGCAGTTTCATCGGAAATCAATGCGCTTATTAGGAATATTTTATAGTAAAATATATTTTTATCTGAATCAAATAATAAATGAATAAAACATTGAAAATATTGAAAAATGAATTTACTATTTTTCTTATTTTTTTCTATTTTTTTTTATGTGTAAATAAACAATTTAAAAAAAAATGATAAAAAATTCGATTAAAGATACTGTCTTTTATGAACGCACCAAAACTGCCATTTAAAAGTTAATTACTTTTAGACAAATAGATTAGGGGCTATATCGGTAACTGCTTACTGGTGCCGACAAAGTCATGATGGTATTTTGACTTTGCTTTATTGGCTGACATTATGTCAGATTTTATTATCCTGTTCAATGTCTTCACAATAAAATAATATTAAGTAATCGATATCGGTAATGATTATCAAGATATACGAATGTAAGGGGGGCATTTGGTGGAACGTTCTCTGGTCGACCATAAGACCCGGTTTCGAATCTTACCATAGTGAATTTATCAAGGTGTGATCGACACGGGGAGGCGAGTCCGGTGTGCGGTATCTGAAAACCCTACCCGACGGATGGTGAGTGAAACTGGCCAGACAGAACTGTAGTAGGGTACCAGTCACAAAATCCAGTCACAAACCATAACATACATTTACGGTATCAAGTGGCCGTTGATTTCTTTTTATAGCAAGCGTTGTTGGCGGAAGTGCAGATTATGTACCAGATAATATTCTGACGGGAAATATAGTCTGCCAATCAGGAATCCGCTTACAATCGGATGTTTGAAAGGCGAGATTGCTGATCAGTGCTCTTATTAAGCAGTCATTGCTGTCTTTTGTCTTCTTCTTTCCTGTGGCATGTTCATTCACGACTTAGACGGTTATGGCTTTCAACAGTACAATGCAATCTCGGTTCTCGAACGTCTCACATGTCGAACAAATTGGTTTTCGAACAAAAAATTCGAAATGAAAATGCCTCGGTTATCGAACATTTTTCGGTTCTCGAACAACATTGCCGAACTAAGTTAACCCGAACGGAATAATTTTTGAGTCGATGACCGTGTTGTATACGTTTGTGTGTTGTGTTGTGCTTTTTCTATTTATTGTACTGTGACTTTTTTCTCAACATTGATTCCTACTGGAAAAATACTTTCGGTTTATGAGCATTTCGGGTTACGGACGGCCTTCAGGAACGAATTAAATTCGTGAACCGAGGTTCCATTGTATTTTATTGCTCTACTAGCTGCCCTATCATTTAGCATTTAATCTAGCTCCTTTGAACGGCTTTTGACTGGGGCTGCTTTACAATAGGTAGGGAGAAGCAGAAGTAGATGTGATTGCTGGATTTCGCAATTAATTTCGATTGTGCCCAAATTTATTCCCAAATTATAAAAAAAATTTTATCGTAAAAAAAAAGTCTCGTTTCAAAAAATCACGTAATGAAAACTTGGGAAGTCCTAAATTTCAGGATTGCTGGTCCGAATCCGGACCGGAATGTTTTGAATTTGCTCACGGGAACGGCCTGATTTCAAAATGGTATGCTATATTGTACTACGGCATCTAGGAGTAAAATTGAAAAAGTGTGACACACTGATATTCGCATTTATTATATAGAAGAAGATGAGATATTTAAAAGTTAGAGAACTACGTTCCTTTAATTGAAAAAAGTGTGACACGATGATCCCAACATTCGCATTTATTATATAGAAGTAACTTTTAACCTTTCCCCATTTCTCAGCCTGAATACTCGAGTCATGTTCCTAAATTGCTTTAACAGATCGAGACTTTCATATGGATGTTATGCATTGGGCCAAACAATATCTAATCTGTCAGTTCTATCCAAACGTTTTCAACGCTTAAAAGTAGCTTTGAGCGAGTGAAACCTGTGGGTTTTGGCAAAGGCCATACTTCAGACATTAGGGACTGGCGCTACATGATCACAAACAAAGAAATGTACCATATAAGCCACATCACTTGAGAACTTACTGGTTGTCCATAATTCTCTGTATTTTGTAC